AAACATGGTCAGTTCTTAGATCAAAGACAAAATAATCAAGTGAAGTAGTAAACAAGGAGATCACCCAAGACAGTGACCCAGCAAAGTAGCAACAAAGCCCCATGGTCACTGTTTCTAATATTCCTATCTGAGCCTACTTCCTTGTCTGGGCCCAGTGACAAATGCCAAATTTCTAGAAGTGGCACCAAAAGCTCTCAACAGGTTAGGACTTTGTTTTAGTTGTAGGAAGTGGTGCTGCCTATGTTCTCAGGATTTATAACCCGAGTGGTGGTTTCATCATGAAGTCATTTGTGCTGAGGTCTCAGGGGCTACGAAGGTCTGGGGTCCTGTTACAATGGAGACCAGTGAACAGCATTCCTCTATGGACCCTGCTTCAGTTTCTGACTCCAGTTTCCTGCCTTGGCTTCCTTCAATGATGGGCTGTAACTTGTAAGCGGAACACACTCTCCCCAAGAAACACACTCTCCCCAAGTTGCTTTTTGTCAGGGTTATATCTTAGTAACAGAAAGCAAGCTAGTATTTATTTATTTATTTATTTATTTATTTATTTATTTATTTTTTGGTTTTTTCGAGACAGGGTTTCTCTGTGTAGCCCCGGCTGTCCTGGAACTCACTCCGTAGACCAGGCTAGCCTCGAACTCGAACTCAGAAATCCGCCTGCCTCTGCCTCCAAAGTGCTGGGATTACAGGCGTGTGCCACCACCACCCGGCTTAGTTTGTTTGTTTTTAAAATTAGCCTTCTTCCCTGCCCTAAACCTTTATTTAAAGATTTATTTTTTAAAAAAACATTAGTTGTACGTACCTATGAGCAGTTATGTGCAGAGTCCAAAAAAGAACTTCAAGTTTCCTGGAGCTTGAATTATAGGCAGTAGTGAGCTGTCATACATGGATGCTGGAAACTGAGCTGGGTCCTCTGTCAGAGCAGTACTTACTCTTAACTGCTGAGTCGTTTCTCCAATGCCCCCAGATGTTTATTTCATAAACTCCAGCTTGCTTCATACTGACATATCCTGAAATCACTTTCACTTTAAGTGTTTGGCAGCAAACACCTACTAAGCTATATCACTGACCCAATGACTGACTGATCTCTGTGTGTGTGTGTGTGTGTGTGTGTGTGTGTTGTGTGTGTGTGCCCAGTGCACGTGTGGAGGCCTGAATAACTTTCAGGAGCCAGTTCTCTCCTGCACTGTGTAGGTTCTAGGGATCAAACTAAGGTCCTTGGTGTTGAGGTCCAGGAGCCATCCCACAAACCGCAGGAACATTAATCTCAGGTAAATGGGGATGGTTTATAGAACAGACGCTCCAAGACTGATCAACCAGGGTAACAGCTCAGGCTTGAAAGCTGAAAGATGAACACTGGGCATTTCTCAGGGAAGGCTTATAAAATCTAAAACTGCAAACACCACAATGAGTTCATACGTAGGTGCTGGTCGGCTCTGCCTCAAGCAACTTTAGACAAAATAGTTCATATTGACCTTCAATTTGATGGGTCCTAAGTGAAGCTTAGGACAGTTGTGGAACTTCTTGATTAACAAACCTCAGAACATACAGAACATAGCAGGGTATGTGGTGAGCATGACTCTGCTCTGAGACAAGTTATTTTTCTGTGTCAACGACTGACAGGCATATTACAGCAACAATATGAAATAGCTGGCAAGCATGGAGCAAAATGGCTACAGCTATGCTAGGGGTGGGCCTCAATACTTGGGCTTTTGTTATAAGTAATTTCCCCATCTTATGCACTCATTCTTATCTTCAAAAAACAATAAAATTGCCGGGCAGTGGTGGTGCATGCCTTTAATTCCAGCACTTGGGAGGCAGAGGCAGGTGAATTTCTGAGTTCGAGGCCAGCCTGGTCTACAGAGTGAGTTCCAGGACAACCAGGACTACACAGAGAAACCCTGTCTCGAAAAACCAAATAAATAAATAAATAAATAAATAAAATCTAGACATGTTATCTCTTATGCGTATAACCTTAGCCTAGTATAGTTCGGGCAAGGACAACCTGGGCTGTATAGTGAGTTCCAGTCCAATTACAGAGTGAGACCCTGTCTCAACCCCCACCCTTCAAAACTCCAATACACAAAGTCATTTGTGTGACATCTGCCAAAATTAAAGTAAGGCTACCTAACACTAATTGTACACCTTCTCTCTTTGGTGTCTACTGACGTTCAAGTCATGGAATTTCTTTCAGGCAGAGGTGTATATCAGGAATTTTCGCATCAATCCAGCACATCACTCCAGACCTCTTGGAACTGACAATAGATGAGACTGTAAAAGTATTACACAAACTCTTACAGAATTAAAATGTCTGGGCTGGAGAGCTGGCTCAGTGGATAAGAGCCCTGGCTGCTCTTCCAGAGGTCCTGAGTTCAAAACCGTCTAAAATGAGATCAGATGTCCTCCTGTGGCATGCAGGTGTACATACAGATAGAAGACTCATGTACATAAAATAAATAAATCTGAAAAATTAAAATTAAATTTTCTCCAGGGAATGGCATGTTGGTGTGGGACTAGCCTGAAGCCATTGACAGAGGAGTAGCCAGTTATCCAGGACAATGACATTGATACTGTACAAATAAATCTCTATATGCTGCTTTGCTATTTTTGTGTTTTTTTACTTCGAGGCAGGGATTTTCTGTGTATCCCTGTCCTGAAACTCACTCTGTAGACGAGGTTGTTCTCAAATTCAGAGATCCACCTGCCTCTGCCTCCTAAGTGCTGGGATTAAGGGTGAACCACCATCCAACTGCTTTTCTGATTTTTATTCATCTTTTCTACAAATTGTAATACTGGCACAGTCGTGGTGGGGAGGAACAGATATTTTTCTCCCCCTAATTATGAGCAAAATTTTATTTTAAATATTTATTTTCTCTTACCAACGTGTGTGTGTGTTTGGGTGAAGCATCAGGCAGTTGACTTGAGATTATAATTATAAAACAATGTATATTTTTTTGTTTTCTTTTTACTTGGTCTTGCCAATCAATCCAAACTCCAAAACTATACAAGTAAGTAAAGCAGAGTTGGGCTCTCTGACATTGCACTGGGAGACAGCAGTTCGGATTGCTCTGAAATCAGTGTTCTGCAGGGCAGTGGAACGGAGGGAGCTGAAGCGAAGCCCTCCTGGAACAACGGAAGCATTAAGATTTAATCCAGGGAGCCTACGAGTATTTGTATAAGGGCTAGCCTCTCCTAGCAATGTTCCCTTAAAGAGTACATTCCCAAGTGTGCTCAGTACAGTGTCATAGAGTACACTTTTGAGGAATTAATGTGACTAACAGGAATATCTCTTTGCATGCTCAGCTTGAACCAAAAAGGGTTTTTTTTCTTTCTTTCTGAAAATGAAAGGATACGTTGAAGGTATACTATGAGTTCCGCTGAAATTGTCTGACTCAGTGGGTGGTTAAGCCAATCCCTTTGTAATTGTATTTAATGTTCGGAAAGAACAGGGGCTTCATAACAGGCTCTGGCTGAGAGAAGATGAAGTATGTGGGTGGCTGAGAGACGACTGCTAGTCAAGTCCTCACTGTTCATCCACGTAGCCCTCACATCAGGTGACTCGCTGCCATCTGTAATTCCAGGTCCTGGGTTCCTACACTCTCTCCTGGCACCCATGGACAGTCACACAGACACACATACATAAAAAAAAAGAATGTGTACACATAGTGAAATGTCTACGAAACAGAAATCCATGTAATCTAGCCATTTTGGTCACCTGGCCTTTTTGTCTACTCTCTTTACCCTCCTGGCCTCTGAGTGTGGCTCCCCCACCATCACCCCTCTTCTCTCGTAGCTCAGGGTTATGTCCACTCTGGACTCCCCCAGATGTCCCTGCCTCTAGCTATGTTCTCCCTTTTATCTACAATAAACTTTCTCCTCCACCATACCTAGGAGCAGACATGTCCCTTTCTTTTTATTTCCTTTTCTTTTCATTCACTTTGGACATAGAATAATGGTCAGGTAGCCTTCAGATGGGAGGTGAAAAGGCTCAAATCAAGGGGCAGCACACACATACACAGACACACGGGGCACAGAGACATACACATATGCACTTGCAACACACACATGCACACACACACACACTCGCATGCATACATATACACACACACACTACATACCACAGACACCCACACCCATAGCACATACACAGCACAGACACACGCAGACTCATGGCACACATACAAACGCATGGCACACACGAACATACAGACACACACACACGGCCCATATACAACACAGACACACACAGCCCATACACAGCACACACACACAGACACCCAGATGCACGCGAGTGTGCACACACACTCTCTCCTTCCTCATAGCTCCCTCTGTGCCTCTTTCTGAGGCTATGTCCTCCCCCCTCACACCCTCTCAGCAGTACAGATACAATAGGCCCTCTATCCTCCTTGAAACACTCCTTTCTTTATCACCAATGATGCCATCCTTCACTTAGTTCTGCCAACCTCCTGTTCCCTTTGCTAGTGTCTCCTTGTTACTAGAATTTAAAGGCCTAGGCTCTCCAACAATTGAAGAACAATGTTAGGGCACGGGGAGTTGGCAAGAAAAGAAATCAGGTTTACTCAGGAGCTGGCCTTTTTGAGAAGTTAGGATGTGCTTTCTCCTCAAGGCTCTATCTCTAAGGTTCAGGGACCCAAAGGGACTTTTGGTAAGGGAAAGCCTTTGGTAAAGGTTTTGGGGGTTAGAGACTTTGGCTGAGTAGGCTTTTTCTCATCAGAAATGCATCCTCTGGCCCCGCCTGCTGGTCGCGTCTCCGCCTTCCGAGACCTTCAGCCACACCCCCGGCCCCGCCTCTCAGGCGCTAGCCCAGCACTCTACGGGCTGACAACTTCTGGCCCCGCCCCGACCCCTGTAACCTCGGGGGGCGGGGTTGGAGAACCAACTGGGTGCGCTGGCTAGCGAGCGATCTGAACGGGCGGAAGTCGGCCGGGTGGGACACAGAGGGATAGGCGTGCAAAGCCGTTTCCGGTGGCTCGCTTGTTGGCGGGTCCCTAACGCCACCAGGGTGGTGAGTAGGCGCAGTTGCTTTCCTTGTTGTCAGGACAAGGGGAAAGAGATGGAAGGCGCGGGTGGCTCGGTGCTGTTGTGAGTGCTTGGCGGGGGACTTGGTCCCAGCGGATGCGAGTTGAATAGCCGAGCACCCCAGCTCCTCTAGCCTGTTCTCAAGCTCCAGTGTTGAGCCTGGGTAAGGCTCCTTCCCTCCAGGCCTGGAGCTGACTGCAGCCTCTCTAGTTCCCCGTGAGTAATCACTTTCTGATCAATCTCATTTCTGCCACTGAATGACCTGGAGTTGGTGACAAGAGGCTGACAGTGTTGTCACGGTTGTGGATTCAGATGGCACCTCAGGATTCGCCCTTCTGTATCTGAGACCGCGATTTCTGAGACAGCTCTGGGCTGTCCAAATGCTGGAGTCTGAGAGGGGAACCCTTTTCTAGTTGTTCACTGCTACTTGGGTTAGCCAGTGGCCAGATACCTGGGATAAAAGCTACCTAGGAAGCCAGCATCCGCCCTCCCATTTTGACCTGACATTAGGGTGTTTGTGTGTGCCAGGATGGGCCCAAGGGCTTTGGTTTAGCCAAAGTGGACTTCTCGAATCCTGTGTTGTGGCCATCCTTGTGACTTAGGGCAGCTGTAGCTTATTCTGGAATTTAGGTACATGCAAACAGGGATTCTCTTTTTCCTTCTGAAGACCTTTATTTCTGGCCCTGTCTGCTACTGCCTCCAGTTAACTCTACGTCCCTTGTGTTTTTTGTTTCACAGACTGCCTAGCTTTGTTCCACTTTCAGGTTCTGAAGTGTGTTTCCTACCTCAGCCACCAGCTTGGCCTAGGTTTCTGGGGGAAGGCATCCTTTAAACTTTACCAGAGTTTCTCATTTAAACACATTTCTAGTCCCCCGTACTTCAGCACTATCATGGATGTGATTTTATGTGTGGCTGTTTGTCTTTTCTACTAGATGTCCCATAAAGGCAAAGTTCTTATAAATTCCCTGTTGTCTGCCTCATTGTTCAGTTGAATGTGTGGCCTATGTCATTCATTCATTCATTTTTGGTTTATCGAGACAGAGTTTTTCTGAGTAGCCTTAACTGTCCTGGAACTCATTCTGTAGACCAGGTTGGCTTCGAACTCAAGAGACTAAAGGTGTGTTACACACACACACACACACACACACCCTCCCCGAAGCAGCCGTACATCATGGTTCAAGCCTGCACTCCCATGCAGACAAGGGGGCTCAGGATATTCAAATGTCAGTGCTGCCTTTGCCTAATCTGGGTGTCTGTACATCTGGCATGGGTGGTAAAGAAGCTGGGGGGTTACAAAGTCCCTCTGATCACTCTGGGAATTGGGGAGCTTCCTCCACTCTGATCTCTGATCTTGTCATGATTTCTTACAGGTGTCTGAGTCAAGACAAGCGGATCCCACCCTCCCAATCTCATGGTAAGAAACCTGGCTTCCTGTATTCCCTCTCCACTCCTGTCAAGCCCCCACTTCCTACTTTGAGGAACTACCCTTTCCACTGGTATCTAGCTTTGACCCTCATTGTGGCTCTTGCCCAGCTCAATCCCTGAGGCGGTGAATATGTCCGCCCAGACCAGAGTGTAGCTGTGCCTGTTCAGTGGGGAGGAGCATAAGGTCACACCCTTGGATTAAGTCCCTTCTCTTCTCGTAAGATTTAAGAGCCAAAAGGATCCCTGTGACTCTAATCCAATCCCATGGGTCACCTGCTTGAGCTGTACCATATGGTAGGGCCACAGTAGAGCTGGCACCTAAGGGTATCTGGATGCTGGTGTGTGTCCTTTCAGGAGGCGGTGACGTTTGGTGACGTGGCTGTACACTTCTCCCGGGAGGAGTGGCAATGTCTGGATTCTGGTCAGAGGGCCCTCTACAGGGAGGTGATGCTGGAGAACCACAGCAGTGTGGCTGGACTAGGTGAGGCTACTCCAGGGAGTCTGTTCCATACGCCTCAGATTGTCAGAGGCGGGGTGTGGATGCTAACTGCTCAGGCCTTAGGGACTAAACCTTGAATCTGAGTGTGCCAGGCTAGCTCCAGGCTTTACACACGTCACCCAACTTAGGTGAGTAGGCTAGGTAAGTGAACTTCTGGGAACCAGTGAAACCTGTTTCTCCCGTGCTATTAAATTATCAGGTGAGAAATGCAACCCACACTTGAAATAGCTTAAGCAAAACAACAACAACAACAACAAAGGAGAAAGATCTGTTAGTGTGCGGAATCTCCAGGGAAACCTGTTCTGGAACCAGAGTGTCAGTGACACCTGAGTCAGTTCTTTCCATCTGCCCTGCCATCAGATGACCCCCGCTCTTGCTGCCATCCCTTCAGCCTGCTCTAACACACAGCTCTGTATCTTGTTTCAACTTTGTGGTAGAGTGGAATGCCTTCCTTGCTGGCTGGTGTGTGTCTCACCTGTTACTGAGCCCCCTTCAGAGCTGATCCCACATGATGGTGGTACCCTACAACAGGAGAGTGTCCTGGGTTCTTGAGAGGATGGCTGGGCTGGTGGACCAGGAGTAGGGGAGATGGGGAGGGGTGTAGTTGGTTTATCAGGTACCTCTCTCAACTTTAGAACTGGCCTATAACTGTTTATCCAGTCTAGACTGGCAAAATCCAGTTTTTCGAGGTTTTATCAGGAGGGTAGAATAAGGGCTGGAGGGCATGCAGGTCAATGGTCGAGCCGTGTTTTCTCACATGAAGCTCTAGGGTCAGTGCCTAGCACCACTGAAGCAAAAAGGGAAAAACAAACAAACCAAACAGGCTAGGCATGATGGTGCACACCTTTAATCCCAGCCCTCAGGGAGCAGATACAGGCCAGTCTCTGAGTTCAAGGTCAGCCTGGTCTACTCAGAAAACAACAATCAAAACAAAAAACAAACCAAAACAACAACAATAAAGAAAGTAGGTGTCTGGTTTTTGAGGCTTTGGGTGTCCTGTCCTGTCAGTGGTTGTTGTTCTGTGAGTTCTGGAATCCTGTCTCTGTGCAGCTCCTTTGCTTTCTTCTTTAGATGGTTGCTGCGCCTAATTGACTTGTGGTATTTAGGTGTTATCTTGTGTTAGATTTCACCAAAACCAAATCGACCTGTTGTACATAAAGCACATTAAATACACACCTAGAATTTTTATATATATATTTTATTTTACTTTTTTTTAAAAAAAGGATTTGCTTATTTTATTTATATGTGTATACTGTATCTCTCTTCAGACACACCAGGAGAGGGCACCAGATTCCATTACAGATGGTTGTGAGCCACCATGTGGTTGCTGGGAATTGAACTCAGGACCTCTGGAAGAACAGTCAGTGCTCTTAGCCACTGAGCCATCTCTCCAGCCCCCACACCTTTGAATTTTAACACAGGGTACTACTGATGACGGCACCAACAATTTAAACTTACTCTATACTTTTCTTTTTTTTTTCTCTTATACTTTTCAAGAGCTGTCTTAAACTCACATATAGTTTATCCTGTGCCACTGTAATAAGAAGCAAAACACATTGTTCCTCTTGCTTAGTCATCCCATGGGGTCCTGGCCTGCCAGGAATGGTGATGATTTTCTTCTTTGAGATTTTACCTTCTGTGAGGTCAGTGCCTGAGCCTTCTTGCCTAGTGTATAGCAGCCACATCTTTTGCATGGCTCTCAGTGACATTACCCGTCTTCTCAGGCTCTTTGCACATGCAGTTACTATGTACCTGTGAGTGGGTCTGCAGTGGCTCCTTAGCAAACTACCCAGTTTCTTTTTTTTTTTTCCGTTTTTTTTTTTTTTTTGGGGGGGGGGTGTTTCAAGACAGGGTTTCTCTGTGTAGCCCTGGGTGTCCTGGAACTCACTCTGTAGACCAGGCTGGCCTCGAACTCAGAAATCCGCCTGCCTCTGCCTCCCAAGTGCTGGGATTAAAGGTGTGCACCACCACCACCTGGCCCAACTACCCAGTTTCAAAAGGAACTCTGTTGGTCTTTCCGTGTAGTTTCTGCTTTTATAATAAACATGTTTCGACATCAAGTTGCTGAACATTTTTTCTTTTTGAGACGGGCATCTCACTCCACTGTCCAGTCTTTGCTTTGGCCCCATTTGCGTTTCCTTGGCTGTTGATAGCCTGCTCGGCTTCTGTTGTTTTACTAAGTTTGTCATTTTCTACCCATCAGTCTATTCAGATCTTGTCCTTTGTTTTACTTTTTGAGACAGGGTTTCAATATGTAGTCCTGGCTGTTTTGGATCTCACTATGTAGACCAGGCTGGCCAAACACTGACAAATATACCTGCCTCTGCCTCCAGAGTGCTGGGATTAAAGGCGTGTGCCATGCCTGGCTAGATTTTTACCTATCTAATGTGTGTGAGTACACTGTCACTTTCTTCAGACACATCAGAAGAGGGCATCAGTGCTCTTCACCGCTGCACATCTCTCCAACCCCTAGATTTTTTTTTTTAACTAGCATCTTTTTATGATGACCTTGATGGATTCTGCTAAAGGACTTTCATTGTCTTTTCAAAGATTTCCGTCTTGGTTTTGCTTTTTGTTGGTTGGTTGGTTAATTTTTTTTTTCCCAGCACAGTTTCTCCGTGTCACCTTAGCTGTCCTCTCTAAACCAGGCTGTCCTTGAGCTGAGGAATCCACCTGCCTCCGCCTCCCAAGGTGGTCTCATGCATCCAGAGCTGACCTCTGGACTTTTTGATGCACAGCATAGCTGAGGATGACCTGAACTTGTGGTTTTCTTTCCTGAACCTCCCAAGTGCTAAGTTTACATCTCTGGGCCACAATGCCCAATTTATGTGATGACGCTAGGAATTTAACTCAGGATTCTGTGTGCTTGGCGAGCACTCTGCCAGCTGAGACACATTACCAACCCACTGGTCCTATTCTGTCTTTGTTCCTCTTTTTTCTTGTCCACTCTTGCCTATTTTGACTGTTTTTATTCTTTTTAACTTAGATTTATGTTTATATATTCAGAGCTTCAGCTTGATAGGGCTTTTTAGTTAGTTAGTTAGTTAGTTAGTTAGTTAGTTAGTTAGTTAGTTAGTTAGAGACAGAGTCTTACTATGTAACCCTGTCCTGGAAATCACTATGTAGACTGCTTTGAAACCACAGAGAGCTGTCTCCCTCCATCACCCAAGTGCTGAGATTAAAGGCATGTTTATCTACTAATATAGCTACATTGTATAGGATTTGACTCATAATAAAAGTACTTATCACTTAATAATTCATTGCTTAATTTCCAAATAGCTGATCACCTCTGTACTGCCCTTTTGTGGTTAATGTCCTCTGGGCTATGCTGTTTTGTTGTATATTTTTTGATGGGTCCATGACTCGTGGCCTCGCTTGACCCAAGGATGTTTGTTTCCTCATGATTGTGGGGGCCTGCCTGAGCTTAAAGCTTGAGCCTGTTGGTGTACCATGTGTCTAACTTTTTGATATTGTGACATAATCCTTGATAACGTTTCCATTCAAGAGCCTTACAATTGAGTTACTAAAACAAAAAGACACCTGCCATTTTAAATAAGTTGATGATCTTGTGTTGGGTCACATTCATAACTGTCCTTGTCTGCATGTGGCTTGTGGGCTGCAGGTTAGACATGCTTGCTGGGTCTTGTACACTTCTCTGCCTCCCTTACCATGTTGTGAGAATCCTGGAGGAAGCTTCAAGCTTAGGGCTCTGTTAACCTTTCTGGTTTTGTTCAATGTGTATGGGTGTTTGGCTTGTGTGTATGTCTGTGTACCTGCTGAAACTGGAGTTATGGACACTTGAGAGTTGCCATGTAGGTGCTGGGAAATGTCCACTAAAGAGCGATGAGTGCTCTTAACTGTTGAGCTGTCTCTAGCCCTGCTGCGTTGATCCCTGATTGGATATACCTTCTCCACTTTTAGGAACTGTCCATAAGGGGAGTTTGGGACCACCACTTGTAATGTGAACCTGCTTCATTCAGTTCATTACTGGTTTGTTTGTTTGTTTGTTTGTTTGTTTTGTTTTGTTTTGTTGTTTCAAGACGGGGTTTTTCTGTATAGTCTTGGCTGTCCTGGAACTCTGTAGACCATGCTGGCCTCGAACTCAATAGAGATCTACCTGCCTCTGCATCCTGAAAGTGTTGGGATTAAAGGCGTGGCCCCCACCACCCAGTCAAGTTTTGTTTCTTGGCTACTCCTACCTCTTGGAGTATCCTTGCCTCTTGAACTGGGGAAAGAAAACACATGGCTTTGCAGAACATGGTGCTGGCCTGGGCTTAATCTTCCCTGCTCCATTTGTACTCCGAGTAGATCCAGTCTATTCTGTGATGACAATGTTCCCTGAAGATTGTGGAAGTCTAGGTGCCCCTTTCTGTCTAGTCTAAGAAGCTGGAGAGAAGGGAGTCAGGTGTATCTAGTGCCTCATCTCTAATCACCCTCCCAAATAGGCTCTGCATGTGTGTGTCTGTGTGTGTGTGTGTGTGTGTGTGTGTGTATTCAGCTCTTGTCCTTCAAGGCTGGAAACTAGGAGGGCAGCTGACTCCAGAACATATTTCCAGCATCTCCTTCTCTCACACAGCAGGATTCCTGGTCTTTAAGCCTGAACTGATCTCCCGGCTGGAGCAAGGACAAGAGCCATGGGTCCTTGATTTACAGGGAGCAGAGGAGACAGAGGGACCAAGGATTGTCCAGACAGGTGAGGCCCAGGCCTTGTCACAGAGAAGGTCCGAATAAGAAGGAGCTGAGGTGAGGTCTTGAAATAGTAGGAGGCTGGGGTGAGTCCTAATCACCAGGCTGGGCTGCTGAGGATCACTGCGGAGGAGGCCAGCCCTAGAAAGAACCACAGCTAGGTGTGTGGCCACCTCTGGGAAAACTAATCCACATAAAACACTTGTCCATTCAGTGGCTATGTGTCATGTACTTAATGTTCATAGAAAAATCTGGATCAGGACAAGCAGGTAGCCTATGGGGATTTGGAGAGTCTAGAAGGAAAGTAGATGTCATGAGGGCCTCTTGGGGGTTCTGGGCACTAAGACCCTTACATGAACTTGCCCCAGGAAAGAAGTCAGTATGAACTACTGGGTATAGCCACTCTAACCTTATTGTGACACATGATAAAACATTCTGATTAAAACCACCTAGGAAGGAAAGAGTTATTTCAGTTTACATTTCCAGGTAATAAGCCATCCTAATGGGAAATCAGCATAGAAAATGACACACCAACCGCGGAGGAACGCAGTTACTCTCTTCCTCTCTGGCCGATGTTGAGCTTGCTTGCTTATGCAGTCCAGATGCAGGTGCTTAGTACTGATGCTGGCCATTGTGGGCTAGGTCTTTCCATAATAAACCATCAATCAAGACAATCTCACAGAATGATCTGGAGTTTCTAGTCAAGGTTTCCTCTTTCCAGGTAATCCTAGATGGTGCCAATTTGTCAGTAAAAACTAACCATCAAACCTATAGCAAGGCTTGCCAGTTGTGAGTTTGCGGTTTGGGTCCTTCTCAGAGAAGACTGCCTTGGAGGACAGCCATGGACAGGTTGAGCACCCAGTTCTGTTCTGAGCCCATCCTGCTAAGATACCACCTCTTTCTTCTTCAGCCCCAGTCTCACTCCCGTATTTTGGTCAGACCCCCTTTTGTCCTTACTTGCCAGATAGCATGCTTGGGGGCCACTGGCCTCTGACGAATTCTAGACTGACTTTCTGTCCTCAGGGCTTGCTCGGTCCCATCTCATTTTTTACATACTGTAGAATATTCCTCGGTGCCCAATAGGGTGGACTCTGCTTGTGGACCCTCTTAACACATGAGGCCATCAGCACGCTGTCTTGTAGGCATAAGCATATCATCACTGTCCAATGAACTAATTTGTGAGGGTTTCCCTCTGTATCTCCTTGCTACTCTTTGCACTTGGGGTGTGTTGTAGTGCTGATACTTCCCCAAGTCCCTGGCTGTCTCTACCTTAGACCTCAGATGTAAGGAACATTTTTACTTTGTGTTTATTTCAGACTCTGCTATTAGAACTGATCACAAGCAGACCTGTGACTACACGAACCTTCTCAAAAGGCAGATTCCTGGCTTTGGAGACAATTTGGATTCTAAGGTCTGGTCAGAGAATTGCCCAAGAAGCCTTGGGCTAAGAGTGAGCGGCTCACTTTTCCAGAAGCACCGTTTGAATAGTGAGACCATGATGCCCAAGAACTTCACAAAGGATGCTCTCCAAGAATGTAAGAAGCTGCAGGCCACTGAGCTGGGTTATCAACCCGATAACCAGAGAGACCGAGTGAAGGGGACATCAGAAAACTGTGAAGTGTGTGGCAGAGTCTTTAGACTAGGTTTGAACCTGGATCCATATGAAATGAATGTACAGGAAAGACCATACAGATGTCAGGAGTGTCAGAAAGCATCTGGCTGCATACAGGAGAAATACACTAGTAACTGCCATGGGAAGAAGCCTTATGGGTGTGAGGAGTGCGGGAAAGTCTTCAGACTGTGTTCACAACTCAGTCAGCATCAGAGAATCCACACTGGAGAGAAACCATTTAAATGTGTGGATTGTGGGAAAGGTTTCCGCCTGAGCTCAAAACTGATTCAGCATCAAAGGATTCATACTGGAGAGAAGCCTTACAGATGTGAGGAGTGTGGGAAAACCTTTGGTCAGAGCTCAAGCCTCATCCATCATCAGAGAATCCACACAGGAGAAAGGCCATACAGTTGTCAAGAGTGTGGAAAAGCCTTCAGCCAGCAATCACAGCTCGTCAGACATCAGAGGACTCACACTGGAGAGAGGCCTTACCCCTGCCAGGAGTGTGGCAAGGCCTTTAGCCAAAGCTCAACTCTAGCCCAGCATCAGAGGATGCATACTGGGGAGAAATCTCAAATGCCAAGAGCCTCAGAGAGCCCAAGCCTTATTGCCCGTCAGAGAAATAACACTGTAGAGAAGCCATTTAAGTGTGAAGTGTGTGGGAAAGCTTTCCGGTGGATCTCACGCCTGACTCAACATCAGCTGATCCATACTGGAGAGAAACCTTATAAGTGCAACAAGTGCACAAAAGCCTTTGGTTGTAGCTCACGACTGATTCGCCATCAGAGAACTCACACTGGAGAAAAGCCGTTTAAATGTGACGAGTGTGGGAAGGGCTTTGTCCAGGGCTCACACCTGATTCAACATCAGCGAATCCACACCGGAGAGAAGCCTTATGTGTGTAATGACTGTGGGAAAGCTTTTAGCCAGAGCTCCAGCCTCATTTACCACCAGAGGATCCATAAGGGAGAGAAACCATATGAATGCATCCAGTGTGGAAAAGCCTTCAGTATGAGCACACAGCTCACCAGCCATCAGAGGATTCACACTGGGGAGAGACCTTATAAGTGTAGTGAGTGTGGAAAGGCCTTCAGTCAAAACTCAACCCTTTTCCAACACCAGATAATTCATGCTGGCGTCAAGCCCTATGAGTGTAGTGAGTGTGGGAAGGCCTTCAGCCGGAGCTCATACCTTATTGAACACCAGAGAATACACACGAGAGCCCAGTGGTACTATGAATTCGGGAGTGCCACTGAAAGTTCCACCCTTTCGAACCATAAAAAAGTGAATGCTGTAAAAAAGTTGCACCAGTGTGATGAGTGTGAGAAGATATTCAGATGGCGTTCGCACCTGATTATCCACCAGAGGATTCACACAGGAGAGAAGCCCTACAAGTGTAGTGCCTGTGGCAAAGCTTTTAATCGGAGCTCCAGGCTCACTCAGCACCAAAAAATTCACATGAGATAGATCATTTACCTCCATGTCCTGGTTACTTCTCTCTTGCTGTAATGGCGCCACGACCAAGGCAACTTCTACAAGAGTTTCTGTGGGGCTTACAGTTTCAGAGAGTGTTCACGGCCATCTTGGCAAGGAGTGTGATGTCAGGGACATGGCGGCAGGCAGGCAGGCAGGCAGGCACGCACGATGCTAGAGCAGCTTGGAGCTCACATCTTGAGACAGCCAATTACTAGGCAGAGAGAACTAACTGGAAATGGAGAGAGTCTTTAAAAACTTCAAAGCTCACCCCCAGTAACACAGCTCCTCCAAGGCCATACCTCCTAATAATTCCCGAACAGTTCCACCAACTGATTACCTAGTGTTGAAACACGAGCCCATGGAGGCCGTTCTCATCCAAACCACCACACTATATAAATATGTAACTGTGAATGAGCCAGAAGCCTTATTTTATTTGGGTAATTTAAGCTAACAGAAACTTGAGGATGCTGGGGAAGATTCAGATTTTCTTCTTAAAGAATAGTCTACTTGGGAAATGTTTTGTTTCTGTAATGTTTTAATGTTTACCCATTAAATAAAAGTGTTCGTCACACTGAAGGTGTAGCCTGTACTTTGAACCCAAGTGAATCTGTCCCACAGATAAGAAATAGGTATCAGGAAAGCCTGGGAGCCCTAGGAAACAGCTTAAGGGAAGCCACAGATCCAGGCCAGGTGGTACAGGCTTGCAAGCACAGCACTCAGGCAGATGCAGAACCTCATCTAGACCATGTCTTTAAAAATAAGATTAAAAATTAAATAAGAAAAAATCCTGGGCATGGTGGTGCATGCTTGTAATCCCAGAACTTGGGAGGCAGAGGCAAAAACCAAAAAAGAAAAAGAAAAATTCTGGAGACGTAGCTGGTTAGGATCTTACTTTTTTTTGTTGTTGTTTTGTTTTTCGAGACAGGGTTTCTCTGCTGTCCTGGAACTCACTCTGTAGACCAGGCTGGCCTCGAACTCAGAAATCCGCCTGCCTCTGGCTCCCAAGTGCTGGGATTAAAGGTGTGTGCCACCACTGCCCGGCAAAGATCTTTATTTCTTTTGTGCATATGAGTTCACCACCATTGCTCTCTTCAGAGGCACCAGAAGAGGGCACCAGACTCCATTACAGATGGTTGTGAGCTGCCATATGGTTGCTGGGAATTGAACTCAGAACTTCTGGAAGAGTAGTCAGTGCTCTTAAGTGCTGAGTGGTCTCTCCACCCCCAACAAGTACTTTTAACCATGGAGCCATCTCTCCAGCCCAGGATCTTACTCTAGAGAGCATCTTTTCTGTTGTTCAAGTTCAGAGCAGGAAGCTTCTCTATAATAGTGCTAACCCCTTATGACGCAATGACTGTGTCTTCATCACATGACTTGACTACAAGCTTAAGCTTCCTAGTGCTTGTTTCCTCTCCACACTATACATTTTTCATCTTTTTAAAGATTTATTTTATTTATAAGAGTACATTACTTATTGTCAGATACACAAGAAGAGGGCATCAGATCCCATTACAGATGGTTGTGAGCCACCATGTGGTTGCTGAAAATTGAACTCAGGACCTCTAGAAGAGCAGTCAGTGCTCTTAACCACTGAGCCATCTCTTGTGCCCTCACTTTTTATTTCTGCCCCACTTTTTGCTTTTTTTCCATTGTAGATCCCTATAAAAATGATTAGTAATAGCCATGCCATTACTGTCTTGAGAGTTCCTCCAACCAAATAAATTAGTTATGTAAGAATTGTTTAAAATACTCATTTTATGTATATGAATGTTTTGCTTGCATGTATGCCTGTACCTGGTGCCTATGGAGGTTAGAAGAGGGCATTGAATTCCCCTGGAACTGGAATTGTGGACTGTTTTAAGCTCCATGTAAGAGTGACAGGTGCTTCTTTTTAAAAAAGATTTATTTAGGCCGGGCAGTGGTGGCGCATGCCTTTAATCCCAGCACTTGGGAGGCAGAGGCAGGTGGAGTTCTGAGTTCGAGGCCAGCCTGGTCTACAGAGTGAGTTCCAGGACAGCCAGAGCTACACAGAGAAACCCTGTCTCAAAAAAAAAAAAAAAAACAAAACAACAACAACAAAAAAGATTTATTTATATGAGTGCACTATCGCTGTCTTCAGACATATACCAGAAGAGGGCATTGGATCCGATTACAGATGGTTGTGAGCCACCGTGTAGTTGCTGGGAATTGAACTTAGGTCCTCTAGGAAGAGCAGTCAATGTTCTTAACTGCTGAGCCATCTCTCCAGCCTGTGACAGGTACTTAACTGTTGAGCCATTTCTTCATCAACTATTCCACTACTTTTTAATTAGCCTCAAGTGAGTTCTTAGGATATTGACAAAAGGCAGCCAGTTTCATTGTCAAAATAACACAAATGGCCATTTCTAATAGAGACCTCGTCTCCGTCTGAGCTTTTATGAGCTGGACTTCTACTGTCTGCACTTGTCTTCTAGGATCCTACTAGAATGGAACCCTGATTTCTGTTAAGGGCAGTTGATGGCCTTTCTAGTCCAGACTTAATGTTTTATTTTTTTTGGTTTGTTGAGACAGGCTGCCTTTGTGTAGCCCTGGCTGTCCTAGAACTGGCTCTGTAGACCAGGCTGACCTTGAACTCAGAGATCTTCCTGCCCCTGTTTCCCAAGTGCTGGGATTAAAAGTGTGTACCAATACTTGCCCAGCTAGTCCAAACTTTCAAAATATTTCACACTCCTTCAAACCATAACCCACCCTGTGCTGGCTCCTGGGGCATCTGCTATACTGTATACCTCAGCAAGCCTGACAGAACTCAGCCCATAAAGGCAAGTGACTGTGTATTCGTGGTTGCTTGGTATCTTATGATTGAATAACTGATCTCTACTAGGGGTCAGGAACACACTACACCTGTTTCTCAGGTAGTGGATGATTCTCTGATGCACAGGTTCAGAATCTCAAGAGTTCTATGCTAGCTTCTATCTCCCTCTCTTTGTAAAAAAAAAAATTATTTTGAGACATGGTCTCAATATATATCTCTTGCTGTGTAGACCAGGTAGCCTTGGACTCCCAGCTTGTTCAATACTCTGTCTCTTCCCCTGGAGTGCTTGCATTGCAGGTGTGTGCCATCATGCCCAGCCTCTTCACTGGGCCTCTTTACACTCCCTTCCCCTGAAATAGATCTCCATGTCACCAAGAGAGCCCTTAGCATGAAGCCACCACCTTGTGTCAACTACCATACCCTAACTTCCCACCAGGACTGGCCAGTCTGCGGGCAGTCCTTTCCAAATGCCTATCAGAGACTCAGGTTTTGTGGGTCACTTCTGGCTTTTGTGTTGGCAGATGCCACAACAGGATTATGCCAGGATGTTATGTCTGAAGAAAGTTTCACAAATGCCTAGGAGGGAAAAGAGGGAGCTCACTGGGAATGGAGCCATCAGACTATACTAGAGCTTGATACAGACGCGAAAATCCTGAAAGGAGCTTCCCTGGCGGCTGTGCAGGAATGTCCTTCCTACTGGGCCACCACCAGCACATGATCCTGTGCTACTGTGGGACTCATGCTTTCACATCTTGCAAAAGGTGCTTTCTGGTTGATGACGTAGCTTGGTTGAATGCATGCCTAGAATTCACAAAACCCTGGTTTATATCTCCTGACATTTTATAAAAAAATGAGCTAGAGGTGGCTCACGCCTTTAATCCCAGGACTCGGGGCAGAGGCAGGCGGATCTCTGAGTTCGAAGCCATCCTGGTCTACAGAGAGAGTGCTAGGACTGTTACACAGAGAAGCCCTGTTTTGGAAAGCCAAACAAATAAAAAAGGTGAGGTATGGTAGTGCCTGCTTGTAATCCCTGCACTCTCAGAAATTGGAGACAGGAGGCTCAGAAGTTCATGGTCCTCCTTAGCTCCATGGCAAGCTCAAGGCCTGACTGTGGCATGGGGGTCCTTGTCTTTTAAAGGAAGGGCTTTGTGTCAGGCTTACCTCTCGTGCTGTTACTTCATTCCCCTTTATAATAAACAACTATTGAAGGTTGTGGCACTTTAAAAAATATTCTTCTTACTTTTTGAAATTCTTAGTTGGGCATTGGTGGCACATGCCTTTAATCCCAGCACTTGGGAGGCAGAGGCAGGCGGATTTCTGAGTTCGAGGCCAGCCTGGTCTACAGAGTGAGTTCCAGGATAGCCAGAACTATACAGAGAAACCCTGTCTCGAAAAACCAAAAAAAAAAAAAAAAAAAAAAGAAAAGAAAAAAAAGAAAAATTTGCATTATTACATCTGTTCCCCCTTTCCTTTCCTCCCTCTAACCTTCCCATATATTCCCCCCCCCACCCTGTACTCTTTAAAATTTATGGCCTCTTAAAAAATTAATTACTGTTACATGCACACATGTATATGTATATACATATATAGTCCTAATTATGTAACTACAACCTGCTCAATCTCTATAATATTACTGATGGTCCTGGGTTCTATAAGAAATCAAGCTGACAAAACCATGGGGAGCAAGCCAGCAAGCAGCGTTCCTCCGTGGCCTCTGCATCAGCTCCTGCCTCCATGTTCCAGCCTTGCTTGAGTTCCTGCCCTGACTTGCTTCAGTGATGGATTACAGCGTGGGGAGTTTAAGTCAAGTAAACCCTTACCTCCCCAACTCGCTTTTGGTCCTGGTGCTTTATAATAGCAATAGCAATAGTAACTCAAACTAAGATAATCTCCCAGCCTTAGGTGCAGGACTTGTATTGTAAATGTATCCATTGGGATTGGTCTTCTCAACTCTCCATTTTGATTGGTTGTGTTTTTCTGGCATGGTCTTCATTTGTTGCAAAGAGACATTTCCTTGATGAAAGAAGAGGACTACATTTACTGGGCTAGACCCTGGAGAGGGATGTCTTGGTTAGAGTGCCTGTCTCAAAAACCAAACCAAAAGCAAGATGATGACCAGGATGATGGCTCAGTGGGTAAAGACACTTCCGGTCAAGCCTGATAACCTGAGTTAAATTTTCAGAACCCACGTGGAAAGGAGAGACTAACTCCTGCAAACTGTCCTTAAGTGGGGGCACACATTCACACAGACAAATACACCCATATAAACATACATAAAGAAATGTAATTAAAAACAACAGCAACAGCCAGATGGTGCCTTTGATCTCAGCACTTGCTGGGCAGAGGCAGGTGGATCTCTGAGTTTGTGGTCAGCCTGCTCTACAGAGTGAATTCCAGGATACCCAGGGCTACATAGAGAAACACTGTCTCAAAAACCCAAACCAAACAACCCTTAAACCAGAATCAAACACAAAACTAACAGCAAGAAGCCCAGCATGGTGATATGTATCTTTAACCCTAGCACATGGGAGGCAGAGGCAGAAGCAGAGGTAGACAGGTTTCTAGGAGTTTGAGGACAGGCTGGTCTATGCACTAAGTTTCAGGATAGCCAGGGCCACTTAAGGGAGGGCTATCCTGTGTTGGGGTTCAAGAATTGCCACATAAACAATATGAACATCGATCTCAGTTAAGCTAGAATATTTTTTTTTTGAATATACCCCAAGACTGATCAATCAGGACCACAAAAAGGACTGGGAGTCTAAATGTGGTATCAGCTTGTCCTCAG